AAGGATTTTCTTCTGTGTCATGGGTACGTATAACAAGTTCACATATACATGACACCCAGACCCGGAACAACAATTTGTGAATCACACAAAGAGTTGCTCCGTGTGGGGATCGAACCCGTGACACGTTTCGCGGCAACCGATTGCCCAGCCACTGCTCCAATCGTGTCGTTAAAAACACAGAATCTGTATATTTTTATAATAACTATCGTGAGACACGGAATTAACCCTTTGAGTAAAATCATTATAGACACAATTAAAGAACAATAGGTTGCGGTCACCGGTGTCCTCGCGGTGTTTAACAGTTTAACTAAAAATGAGTTATTTATATAGTAGGCTTCAGTAGGCCACGCGACGTCGATGCGAAAGCTCTCGCGGCTCATTTATTTATTTATACGAATAGAACGGTGCGGTACATACAACCAATTACACTACTCAAAACATATTCAAAAAAAAAATTGAAAAAAAAATTATTAGATAACTATAGTTCATTCGTCTCTTTCACAAAACTTACTTACTTTCTTTCATGAGGAAGAGTCCCTCTGTGACTCGTAACTAGTAGAGCATTTTTCTCAGTGTATTGACGTGAGTAACTCGATATTTTTAGTTTTTTTTATCGTTGCCCCACACTAGGATTTTCTCCTGTGTCTTGGGTGGGCTTACAAACATACAAGTTGACATACACAATGACACCCAGACCCGAATCAACAATTTGTGGATCACACAAAGTGTTGTTCCGTGCGGGAATCGAACCCGCGACACGTTGCACGGCAGCCGGTTGCCCAGCCACCGCACCAACCGTGCAGTCAAGTTAATACAGAATTTGTTAATATGCGGTGCAATAATCAAAAGAGGTCACGATACAGTTTGTATGCAGCTGACCTCGTGAATTTTAAATGTATGGATCGATAGAGCCACCACTTTATACGTGCAATTAAAACGATACATAAGTATTTACCAATATTTGTATTATGCTGGTAATATGGAAACTAGAATGAATAATGCTGTCTAAATGATGGACAGATAAGTTTGCTATAATTCTCATACTTGGCAAGCGACTTGGGAAACGCAGTAAGGTTATCGAAAATTTTGAGGATGCTGCTCAGCTCGCGGTCGCTTCTTTTGGGACCTCTGTCCTATACGTGTGAGTAAGGTTATCGTAGGTTCAACCCTCCCCCCATCATCCCCAATTCTCAAAGCTCTAACCTCCCAAATGCCGACATATTCCATGTACCTCCTCTGGTGTTGCGAGTGTCTATGGGCAGTGCCTTAGGCCTTAACGCGGTGTGAGGCAGCGAAGCGCTGCCTCCTCGCAACCCAGCCATCGCGAAGGACACACCGGGCGTCGGGGATCGCGGGACGATCTCCGGCCACCGTAAGCGCAGGCCTGCGGACGGCGAGCATGGGTGGCTCCCCGTCCGACCAGAAACAGACCCGAGCGTACGGCGCGTTGCGTTCCGCGCGCGCCTCAAGGAGCCATCAGACCACCACAGATGGGACCCAACAGGGCCGATGCAGATTCGGAGTCGCGGAGAACCTAACGGGTAACCGGGGTTCCGGCACGACGTGCAGGAGAAGGAACGGGGTGGTTTTTAGTCAGTAAGAGTCTGACACTCCCTCCCGCCTCACCCAGGCGGGATCAGTAATTCGATGATCCCTCCTTTAAAAAAACCCTTGTAATTTTTTTATCCTAGTAGGTACAAGCTTCAAACTCATAAAAATAATTTGCAAGTGAGCTCTTCCTCGTAGATACTAGATACTAATATCTACATAACTTATTACATATCTTACTATCCATAAATAAGTATTAGTAAAATTCCTTGATAATTTTTTAATTACTATTGATAACACGTACTGGGTGAAATTCTTTATTCCTATAATCCGTATTTAACTGTGGCGTTAGTAGATAATTTTGATGTTGAGTTTGTCCGGGATTTGGGAAGTACCTTCGATAAGTTTTTGTAACTACCAAACTATGAGTTGTAATTATCGAGAAAATATTCAAGGGTCTGATTCTTTATTCTAGCAATATCTTGACGTTGAATATAGCTTGTCATTTTTTTTAAACGGCTTCGTTGGCCGGTTTTTTACACGTGCGACTGCCAGGCAAGGGGTCTCGGGTTCGATTTCCGGGTCCGGCAAAGTATTACTGGGTTTTTTAAAAAAAATCTGTAGTAAGTAGCACGCAGTCTGGAATTGTGCCCGGTATATGGCAATAGGCTCACAACTTATTACATGGGACTCGTAACATAAATAGTAAAAAGTGGGTGTTACATTGTACAGTGGCATAATGTGTACCTCTGCCTACCTCTTCGGGGATAAAAGGCTTGATGTTATGTTATGTAATTTGGCTTGATATACAGATTAATAATTTTAAAGACATTTTATTAAAGTTTTCTCTCGGGAGATAGTAAGACGTTCTTATGATTAGGGTTTGTTAATGTCAATTTAGGATATTATTGTTCATAGTTTTGAATTTTACAATTCGTAGATATTAACATACCGTTGAATATTGTTATATAAAATGCTATTAAACCGACTTCAAAAACAGAAGTAGGTTCTCAGTTTTACTTGTATTTATCTATGCTAATATTATAAAGCTGAAGAGTTTGTTTTTTGTTTGTTTATTTGAACGCGCTAATCTCCGAAACTACTGGTCCGATTTTAAAAATTAATCCTGTGTTGGATAGCCCATTTATCGAGGAATGCTTTAGGCTATAAAATATCATGCTACGATTAATAGGCGCTGAGCAGAGCGAGTGAAACCGCACGTAGTAGCTAGTGTATGTATGTTTGTGCGCGATTACCTCGCGATTGGCTAAACCGATTATGATGCGGTTTTCAAGTGTGTGCTACACTTCGGATAAAGTTTTAGTATATTTATAAACCGACCGAGTTGAAGTTGGCTGTTTTAAATGTAGTTCATATATGGATTATTATTATAATTAAAACTAAAACAAAATTGAGGAAAAGTAAGCGTATTACACTTGCATTAATATTATGCACTTATCATTTCGTGGAAATATTAATTACGAGAACCTATGTACATATATACTCACAATCGATTATTCTACAAGCATTCCATTACCCATTTATACAAAAGTATGTCACCTCTTCAAAGACTATAAGTATAATAACAATGTGACGTCATAACGTATTCAGGACATTCCGAACTGATTTTCATGACAAAAGTACCAGGGAGTCATGATTGTTAGATAGTGTATTGAAATTGGTTTTACTCAGTAAAGGATAAAGGAGTCGTGAGCTTAGTTATGAAGTAATCGGAATTACGACTGACTTGGAATTGTATACTGCGTTTTAGCAATGACATATTGTAATGTGCCATTCTGGTGTAGCTATTTAGCGCAGTCAATAAGTAGTTAATCAATTGTTACAAGTAGAAACTAGGTACTTAAATTATACTAATAGAAGACTAATTAAAAAACCGACTTCAAAAAACCAAAAACTATTAACAAACAAAAAGTCAAAACTAAAACGCAAAAAATAACTATTATTAGTACTGATAGATTACCCACCCACTGATAGGTAAGAAGTCGGTGCGGTTAAGTAATTGAAAAACATAATAGACGCATTACTCGCCCATAGAATTTTCGAAAGTTCCCCTCGGTTTCCCTAGGATCCCAACATCAGACCCTGACCTCATGGAAATGGGACCATCTTGAGAGTATACCCTTTCAAACAAAAAAATAATTTTGCAAATCGCTTCACGCATCTCAGAGTTATGCGCGTAGCCGTACATACATACAAAAAAAAAACAACCTCCTCCTTTTTTGGAGTCGGTTAAAAACTAAACTATATACAACTTAAAAATAAAAAGAAAAACGATACAAGCGAATCGAAAAACTCTTCATCATTGTCGCAAGACAGGGTGCTCAAAAACCTGGCAGCATTATGTCATATTGTATGACAATGCTTAATCATGGTGGTAACACAAGTGTGGGAGAGCCATGCTTCGGCACGAATGGGCCGGTTCGACTGGAATGATACCACGTTGCGTTTCGTTGTGTGAGTGACGTTACCGGAGGTCCAATATGATAATGGAAGGCAGAGTCGGCCGGTTGGCTGCCGTACAACATCAACATAAGTTCGTTTCCCCCACAGAGCAACTGTTTGAGCCGTCCATGATTCATTTAAAAGTAATTCTAATTTAAAAATTACTACAGTTGATGCATTACAGATGGATTGGCGATTGGCCAAAACACAAGTTTGTAAAGTGCTATTCATTTTGTTAATTGAATAAATGTTGTTTATTTAACAATTTAAACGACTAGTTTGTGGCACATAAAATGTCTATCAAGTTATTCGGAATAATTTATCTCAATTCTTTAATACGGCCTACCGTATTTCAGCTGAGGGCGCTAGTGTGAACCTCTCGTTATACGTCCAATAGGGAATTAAGGTAGTGTCGTGTGATGTTCAATATTTGACAGCTGTTGTGATTGGACGAAAAACGCTTCCTACATTTGCGTCATCTGGCAATGAAAAAAATGTTAGCCCCCATTGGTGGGCTATATTATACTACTTTAGTAAACTTAAGCTAATACAATAATAATTATTAATTATTAACATACAATATTTAATATTGTTATTTAATATTAAGTAATTAAATATTGTTTTTTTATTTTATTTTTTTGTGTTATTGTACCTTGTGACGGTGTGCAAATAAACAATTTTTCTTTCTTTCTTTTCTTTCTTTCTCATTTTGGATTATAATAATGATTTTTTAATCTTTTCGTGACGTAAACTGATTGTTTGACCGTTTATTTGACTTCCTACTTGTTTGTCTTTATTACAAGTCCAAAATCGATTATTTAGGTATGTGAAAATAGTTGAAAAATTTACTTAGCTGATTATAATTGCTGAGAAAAATGCCCATTTCCCGTGGAAAATATGAATCAGTCTATTTATCTTAATAATTATCACGCCAAACACAAAGTATCATTTTTAAAAACCTTCTAATTTCTATATTTTATTAATTCCAGGTCTTCACAAATGCAACGCCAGAACATTGGTGCGCTCCACCACCAGAACTGGATCACCTAGGATTACCAGATCAACTCCTTCGTTCCCTAACAGTACCAGGAGAGCAGGGCACGTACGAGTCATGCATAGCATACGATATAGACCGCAAGGAGTTACGTGAAGTGCTGAGGGATTTCATCGTTGAAAGGTAACTTTGATTTATGATTCCCTGGTTGGTGACGTGACGTTTTTCGTCACGTTATTTTAGTTAGTGGTTAGTTTGCCAAAATTATTTTTTAACATTACCTATTTCCTATTTATTTAAAAGCCGGTAAATGAGCAGACGGATCACCTGATGGTAAGTAATCGGCGTCACCAATAAACAGCTGGAACACCAACCACGCGTTACAAGTGCGTTACCGTCCTTTTTGGGTATTAGAATTTTGACGATTGTTGGGTAATCAGGAATTAAGGAGATTGGGAGAATGGGGAGGTTAACTGAAACTGAGCCTCCGGTAGTCCGGTAACCTCACTCACACAGCGTTGTTTCACGTCGGTTTTCTATGAGGCCGTGGTATTACTCCGGTCGACACGGCTCATTCGTGCCGAAGCATGGCTCTCCACTTAAGTATTTTAGTGCAAGCCCACGTTGACTGTTTTCATTTTATTTTTCATCTATTTTCATCTAGACCGACTATGCTATACTTCCACTTGTCAACACACTTGTCAGCTAGTAAATTAGTTGTGTACTTTTTAAAAGTCGTCATATTAGTTTGTTGACTTCTGAAAGCAAATAATTATTGCTTTGACTACAGTTATTAATGTTTTAGTACAGAAATTCTATTATTCTTATGTCTTATTGTTTGTTTTTATGACTATCATCAGTACCTATCTAGCTCTCACGCATCCCACATTTCACAGTCACACATATCTCACATCAGAGAGTGCAGTGCGACCAAATATTTCATAATATTAATTTTATTTCATTCACTATTTGTCCATTATGCCCATGGGATTTACGTAGGCGAACATAGCAATTCTCAAAATCTAGACTAATAGTTGCCTTGATTATAATTGTCACGACAAGACATAGGATCAATTGATAAAAACAACAATTTTACCCGTCTTAAAATATTATGTTTTCGGCTTACGTAAGTGTTTGACGAGGAACTCGACTACTTTCAAGCCATGCTAGAGGCTCATATTCATGAGCAGCATTCCGCGACCAGTGACGCGGCGACGGTCGCGCTGCGTACGCCGAAAATATAATAATTTATTTAGTATGTCTCACGAAAGTTGTAATGATTATAAACCGTCTTAAATACATATAAATAAACTTGTAGATATTTAAATAATGGCATGCAAAGCCTAAGAACTATTTATTGACATTGAATAGTGGTGAACCTTCGTTAAGGATTAAATAAATCAACATCGCTTGCCACCAGGCAAAAAAAGAAGTCGCGGAGAACCTAACAGGTTGCCGGGGCTCCGGCTCGACATGCAGGAGAAGGAACGGGGTGGTTTTTAGTCAGCAAGAGTCTGACAATCCCTTCCGCCTCACCCAGGCAGAACAGTCATTCGATGATATTCCCCCCTTAAAAAACAAAATATAAAAAAAAATATCAATTTACTATTTTAGAACACTGACCCAGTGCAATACGCAGTCGATAATTATAATATCTCGCATTACACAACCCAAATGCATAACAATAGAGGTAGTTTAGGTATTTTGGTGCTTCAGTACTTTTCTCTCCAGTGAAAATTAGCTCTCTGCCTCGTTGGCCGAGTGGTCGCAAGTGCGACTGCCGGGCAAGGGGTCTCGGGTTCGATTCCCAGGTCGGGCAAAGTATTACTGGATAAAAAAATCTCAGTAGTAGCACGGAGTCTGGGATTGTGCCCGGTATATGGCAATAGGCTAGACTCATAACATAGTGAAAAGTGGGTGTTACATTGTACAGTGGTATAATGTGCACCTCTGCCTATCCCTTCGGGGATAAAGGCGTGATATTATGTGGTCTTGAAATGTTCGTGGAAGTCCAGGGAAGGTTTAAAACACGAGAGGGAAAATTTTAGGCAGCACAATGTTTGCCGGGTCGCTGCCTTGTAAAAGAAATAAAAGATATTATATGTACCTACATTATAAAACATATAATTAAGTACGCAAGCACTAGACTCTTGTACTACGGACTTTATGATAATTGATTTTTTATCGTAACAGAAAAAAAAACAGAAAAACAAATAGCATCTTAGCTTACTACGTACCTATAGATAGCTCTTAAAAAAACTTGATCGTTGTTACATGATACTCGCGGCTGGCGCCTACGTTTTTTATTACATTCAGTAATCATTATCTATTATCAGACTTGTACATAATGAATTATTTACATTTTCAGTCCTGATGGTTATCCTGCGGCTATCCTATGGTTACGTCTTATGTCAAATGTCGTGGTGGCCCGAAAGTTTAAGACGTTTTCATGCATATAATATGATATTATATTGTCCTTGTGAACAGTAAAACTATAACCAAAGTTTAGTTGCTCTGAAAAGAGATAATTTTATTTTATTACCTATTTACAAAATCTAGTTTTAAAACTTTTACAAAACATTCTTTAATAATAACTATGCACTAATTTTACCTGAAAAGAGAAACAACATTTAGAGCTATTGTTTCACCAGTTCTTATCAATTATTCTAATTACATTAAAATTCTTACTTGTACATAACAATTAACCATTTTACTTTTCATATTTTTCACAGTCATTCAATATGACAGTTTACTCCACAGATTAGTTATTTCACAGATCAAAAATACCTCAATGTTATTACACGGCAAATCCAAACTATACAAACTAAATGAAGTGTCACGCACTTTGTTTACATGCATTTAGTAAAGTGTGCGTTCGAAGCCTTCCAATTCCAATACCAACGGCAAGTACCAATGTGAATTTTTCCGAGTTATATGTACTAGACACCACCGACAAATGGTGAAGGAAAACATCGTGAGGAAACCTGTGCTTATAATTTCTAATTATAAGTTTGAAATCGTGTATAGCAAGCGTGATGATTAATGCTCAAACCTTCTCCGTGTGAGAAGACGCTTTGCTCAGCAGTGTAGCAGCAGTTTATAGGCTGTTGATGATGATGATACGTTTATCCTTTGCATTTTTGAATCGCCCGTCACTAACCTTCAGCAACCAAGAACCAGGAGTGCATAAGATTAGCAATGGTGTCAGACTGATAGATGATACTCGATACCGTAACATAACATAACATAACGTCACGCCTTTTATCCCCGAAGGGGTAGGCAGGGGTGCACATTATACCACTGTACAATGTAACCCCCACTTTTCACTATTTATGTTATGAGTGCCATGTAATAGGGGGTGAACCTATTGACATATACCGGGCACAATTCCAGACTCCGTGCTACTACTGAGAATATTTAAAAACCCAGTAATACTTTGCCCGACCCGGGAATAGAACCCGAGACCCCTTGTCCGGCAGTCGCACTTACGACCACTCGGCCAACGATACTCGATACCAATTTCAAAAATATTAAGAACATCGTTTATTTACTTACGTCAAAGTTAAATGGAAACATATTGTGTATAATTTTTCATGTTAATTTATATTAATTACAATAATCAAGCCGTTTAGAACAACATCTATCAAAATGATCACAAAAAAACAAACACGTGGTCGTTCAATTGAACAAACAGACGAGACGTCTTGTTCATTGATTTTTTTGTAAGTTACACGCGACTACGTCAATTTAAACGACGTCATTTGCATCTTGGCTGGACATAACACTGTAAGCGTCTAAGCGTACGTCTGTACGTACACGGCTGATATGTCCTACGTGCATGCGAATCGTTTCGGTTCATAGATAGGTAGGTATCTTTACTAATATTATAAATCGGAAAGTGAGTTTGTTTCTTTGTTCCGCTTTCACGCAGTGACTACTAAACCGATTGCTTTGAATTTTTGCAGATGTAAAGTTAGAAGTTCGGATTAAATAATAGGATACTTTTTATCCCGGAAATATTTGATATTCCCAAGGGAAAACAAAAGTATTGGTATAGATGGCGCTGTGTATATTATCGGTATATGTCACATGGCTACTTTTTATCCTTTTGTGACGCGAGCAAAGCCGCGGGTAAAAGCTAGTAGTTAATAAAGAAGTTTTTAATATTTCTGTGCTTCGCTTCGTTTTTATTTCCGTCATTACAACCAAACAAAAACATAACAGCACCGCATCCAAATATCTAACCAACTGATCTCGTCCGCGTCATTTCGCGCCACTCCGCACCGCATCCCACGGGCCGGCATATAGTCACGTAGAACACTTCAATAGGCGGGACGCGTGAGGCAGCGAAGCGCTGCCTCCTCGCAACCCAGCCATCGCGAAGGACACACCGGGCGTCGGGGATCACGGGACGATCTCCGGCCACCGTAAGCGCGGGCCTGCGGACAGCGAGCATGGGTTGCTCCCCGTCCGACCAGAAACAGACCCGAGCGTACGGCGCGTCGCGTTCCGCGCGCGCCTCAAAGAGCCATCAGACCACCACAGATGGGGCCCAATAGGGCCGATGCCGATTCGGAGTCGCGGAGAACCTAACGGGTAACCAGGGCTCCGGTTCGACGTGCAGGAGAAGGAACGGGGTGGTTTTTAGTCAGTAAGAGTCTGACACTCCCTACCGCCTCACCCAGGCGGGAGCAGTCATTTGATGATTTTCCTCCCTTAAAAAAAAAGGACACTTCAATAGGTTGTTTTCGCGCCACGCGGCACCGCTCCGCATTCGCTCCTAGATCGCTCACACAGGACGTAACTACCATTACTAAGCCGCGGAAGGCCTAACGGGTTGCCGGGGATCCGGCTTAAAGTACAGGAGTAGGTACGGGGTGGTTTTAGTCAGTAAGAGTCTAACAATGAAACTTGATGAAACTCCCGCCCCGCTGGCATTTTCCAAGGCGGGAGAAGCACGGAAGAAGTCATTGGATGATTTACGCACCTCATGAATAAGGACATAGCATTATCGCATTTTTAGTTGCGTAGGTATCTAATTGAATTTAAACTATTTACCTAAACTAAATGGTCTCATTCCATCCGTCTAGTAGGTAACTACTTAGTACCTATACTCCGTCTGTTTAGGTAGTTAACTATTTGTAAACAAACCATAAAAAGAGTTATTTATAGTTGACATTTCCATGATTCAAAATACTTCATAAGAAAATAAAATTGTTTCCCTTTTTACGACAGTTTTCTCTATTAAATGTTATGTTTCTGTTCCTTTTCACTTATTTCTTAGTAAATATTATATATATCTGCTTGAGGATATTAATTTAATAACATTTATTAAATAGTATAACATTTCATTACAATAGACACCATAAAGAGCCTAAAATCCCAGGTATCCAAAACTTTTCTTTAAGAACGAAGCAAAATAATGTTGTCAAATTAAAGAGTACAACTAAGATGTAGCGCGACAATGAAAGTAGCGTGTATTACGTTTAGTCGGTTAATCAGGCGCCATTGACAGCTCTCTCGTCGTTTGCGCTCGCGTTCCTATTTTGTTGAATTTATCTTGTTTCTTTGTTTCGTTTTTGTTATTAAGTTATTCAAGTTTAGGTTATTCATCGTTTGTAATTAATGTGTTCAAATATATTGAAGAAACTTGGCCCAAAGACACATATCCGTACAAGAAAGAAATCCGTACATCAGATTCAGAATAGTTTCTATTTAAACATGATAATGAAATAGACCCATAGGCAAGGCTCTTGTACGATTTAGGCATTTGTAGTTGTATATGTGTGTATGACAAATGAACGAGTTTAAAGTGAATTTAGTTAAAATTAAAACACGAGAAATATTTGAAGTAATAGTAGGTTAAGTATCTCTGTGTCACGTGGTTTTCTTTGTTTACCTTTAGTTAATTACCTAAACAGATGGACTATAGGCGAAAATGGGAAATGATTTTTAACTTTATTACAAAACAGTAAGGTAGTTTTTGTAATGCTACTTAACGATTGAATATTGTCTTTTACAAGTTAATGTAGGTAAGTTGTACTTAAATAAATTACACACTTACCTAATTAACAAACAAATTAAATGATTGGATTAAAATAGTATCACGATTCAATTGTGTTTATTCAAAACAGTTTTTTTTACGATTATACCTAATTCTAATTTGACTATGCGACAATTATTTCATTTTCGTTATTTTCTTCTTTTCGACCCAATTTAATGTTTCTGAATATACGTAAAACATTTTTGAAACACCGTACCTAATCTCATGTGCCTATGAGATAGTCTGTGAAATACATTTTTTATACAAATTATTAAACTGTAATATATTTTGAAATAACAGTACGTCGATTAATAAATGTTTAGTAAATCGTTCAGTCGAAGTGGTGTTGATTGATAAAAGTTTTGTTTCGAAGTAAACGACTAAGCGACGTTCCCATTGCCGTTTAAAAAAATGTCACGTACACAACTGCACAATGTGAACTCTTTCATTCATGTCAACCTGGTACCTGTTAGTGTGTGTGTGAAAGAGATGGGGAGAGAAAAACAGAGAGAACGAGGGCGTGAGATGGAGATAAATATAAAATGGTACACGTAGTTACTCTTACGTTTCATGTTCACCTAGTATCTCCATAATACATTTCTATTGGAAAATACCGTAAAATGCACAAAGGGACTGTAGTCCCTTTTTACCGACTTTAAAAAAGGAGGAGGTACTATGTTCGGATGATTTTTTTTTGTTTGTTTACCGATTAATCCGCCATTTGTGAACCGATTTCCAAAATTCTTGTTTTGTTTGAAAGGCCCATACTCCCGAAAATGACCCTTATTCATCAGGTCAAGATCTCATGATGGAATCCTAGGGAAACCTATAAAGAATCATGCTTGAAAAGTCGTAAACGCTCCGCTGTACGTACATTTCGGGTGCGAAACGTTATCATACTTTTATTAGAGAAGCCAAATTACAATTCTACAAACGATATCGTTTGTTTCCGCTGTTTCTTTTAAAGTAGGTAATACGAAAAAAATAAAATATAAAAATCGCGGTTTACTCACGTAAAAATATTGAGAAAAGCTCTACTGGTTTCTCAGTATTTTTAAGCAGTCACCGGTGTCCTCACCACGGACGTTGTTTTTGTAAAAACAAAGAAAAATAATGGCAAGGCGACACGGCAATTGCCGAGACGACGCGACGACGCAACGGCGACGTTGTTGCCCTCGCTGTGTCAAGAAAACAGCTTCACACATCATTGCACAATGTGAGCTCTTTCATTCATATCAACCTGGTACCTAGAAGTGTATATGTGAAAGAGACGGGGAGAGAAAGAGAGAGAACGACAGAGGAAAATGGAGGTAAATACAAAATGGTGCACGTAGTGACCTCCTTACGTTTCATATCCACCTAGTATCTCCAAAATACATTTCTATTAGAAAATATCGTAAAATGCACAAAGGGACTATAGTCCCTTTTTACCGACTTCAAAAAAGGAGGAGGTACTAAGTTCGGATGACTTTTTTTTGTCTACTGATTACTCCGCCATTTGTGAACCGATTTCCAAAATTCTTGTTTTGTTTGAAAGGTCATACTTCCGAGAAAGTCCCATTTTCATCAGGTCAAGATCTGATGATGGAATCCAAGGGACACCGAGGGGAACTTTCGAAAATTGTAGGGACGAGTAATGCGTTTAATATATTTTTCAAAAAACATTTTTAAACACTAAAATTTGATAAGGATCTGGAGTCCACCTGATGATGGAACCGACAGACAGTCGAAGGAACTCCTTAACAGTGTATAGTAACTACCTTGTGTTTTGACTTGATTTATTTGTATTTATGAGAACTTAACATTTAGATGGAGTGGGACTGTCATTAAGGGTCTGATGATAAAGCAGTCTAATCGTTAAGTGTGGGAGAGCCATGCTTCTTTACGAATGGACCGGCTCGACCGGAGTGATACCACGGCCTCACAGAAGACCGACGTGAAACAACGCTTGCGTTGGGTTTCGTCGCGTGAGTGAGGTTTTTTTAATGGGCTAGAAACTAAACTAAACTTCTATAACGCCCTGGCCACAGCCAAGCGCGACGCGAATTGCGGCGCGAAATGCGGCGCGACAAGCGGTGAGCGGGGAAAACAAATGGTAGACAACGTATGAAGTATGCCACAGCTAACGGCGACGCGAAATGCGGAGCGACTTGCGGCGCGAAAAGCGTCGCGCGACATGCGGCGGCGACGGGCGGCGCGATGTGCGAGTGAAACAAATGCACTGGGGAGTATTGAGGCGGCCACAGCCAGAGCGGCGTATGCAGCGGCAGCGAGGGGACGAATTTGTGTTCGCGCGAACAGAACAAATCGTTTTGAAAATTTCGCTCCGCATCAAATAGATACCGAAAAACTTATTAGTGAGATATTGATAGTTAGATTAGATAGTTTGGATAGTTCCTATATTCGTGATAAAGCGTGTGAAATTCGCCAAGGTTTTTCATTTTTTCACCGCACCGCTAGAAGCCAGGATCTACAGTAGATACAAACATGAAAACACAGGAACACTGAAGTCCAGCGCGTCCCAGGGACATGAATAACTGTCTTGGTTCCCAAACGAACCCTAATTTCAAAAGGGCCGGTAACGCACTTGTAACGCCTCTGGTTTTCCAGGTGTCCATGGGCGACGCCGATTGCTTACCATCGAGTAAGTGTGGGAAAGCCTTGCTTCGGCACAATTACCCCCCTCCCTAGGCTCCCGAGTCCCCGAATCCTCCACAATCCTCAAATTCCTAATTCTCAAAAGGCCGGTAACGCACTTGTATATTGTATGTATACGTAAAACATTAATGTAGTTTAATTCCATTCCACAGAACAGTGACGACGAAGGAAGGCAATGCTTTCCATACACTGCAGATTTATCAGCTGGTGGATGTTAGCGACGAGCGGCAGAAAGAATTGGTAGGTACCTACACCTACACCTACTTATTTTCCAGAACTGCTAGGCAAGGTAACTTTCAATATTCGAAAGATGTAAGTGAACTGGAGGCCTTAATGCGAGTTTGTTTTACGTTAAAAGTAATCGAAACGAGACGGCGTCCGGCGCTCTGATTGGTTGGTTCATTGACGCCGGCCAATCACAGCGCCGAACGTGTTCTCGTTTGGGAATTTGAGGATTGTGGAGGATTCGGGGATTCGGGAGACTAGGGTAATTGACACAACGAATAACTCACACAACAAAACGCAACGCAAGCGTTGTTTCACGTAACGTCGGTTTTCTGTGAGGCCGTGGTATCACTCCGGTCGAGCCGGCCCATTTGTGCCGAAGCATGGCTCTTCCAGACTTAAAGTTAAAGAGGCACTCTTCTAATGAAACACTTGTTCTTAACTAACAGATGTCGAACGTCACAAGTGCGGTGCTCTCCGTCAGAAGAAACACTACGTCACCATGTGCCAACGGCTGGCGGTTCAGCACGGAACAGTACCAGGATACCCTCGTCACAGATGTAAGTATACTTTGTATGCACACACACTCATAAAGATTTAAAGTAAACTCATCTCTAAATTCTTATAGAAAACATCACGCCTTTTATCCCAGAAGGGGTAGGCAGAAGTGCAAATTGTAGCACTGAATGCCACAATGTAACACTCACTTTTCATTATTTATGATATGAGTCCCTTGTAATAGGGGGTAAGCCTATTGCCATATACAGGGCACAATTCCGGACAAATCCACTCAGGATTTGTTAAACGAATTAAAAAAGGAGGTTCTTCGTTCGAACCATATGTATGTAATGTGTACATATATATGTATGATATATACAGATAACTAATTTCGATGCAGTTCAGAAAACTGTTTGTTACACTTAAAAGAAGGTTTTAGTATATTAGTCAGCCTATTTCAAAAAAAGAGGAGGTTGAAGTCGGTTATTTAAAGGATTATTTTATGTTTTCCAGTTCTCCCTAGTCTGCGACATGGACTGGCTTCCAAGAATGTGCAACACTCTCTTCTGGGTCGGTTCCATCTTTGGGAATCTCTTCTTTGGATGGATGTCGGATAGGTAACTTTTAGTTTTACTTTCTTCCTGTATTCTTGTACTGCATTCTGTATTCTTGTTTAAGTGACTGCATTCTATATGACTGAAGTAAAAGTTAAAATTTAAAAAGCAATATGGAACAATGTTTTACTGAAATCAAAAAACGTTATGTCTCAATGATATTCTGTTCAGTCCGGGAATCAGACTCATGAGGAAGAACCTCTCTGTGTTTCGAAACTAGTATAGCTTTTCTCAGTTTTTTAACGTGAGTAACCCGCGATTTTTAGTTAATTTAGTATGATATCTCACGATAGTCTTTATAAAAACAAAAAATATTTCCTTTCTTCTTCCAGATACGGCAGACGTCCCACAATTCTTCTTATGGTGTTCCTAGAAGTTCCTCTGGCGATAGCGTCATCATTCGCTACGTCTTTCTGGACGTATGTCGGCCTGAGAGTGGCGGGTGGTCTGTTCTTCCCAGCTCTGTATCAGCTACCGTTCATATTGGCGTTGGAGTTGATGCCGCCTGGACAGAGGAATCATACAGGTTGGGATTTCTATCTATATCTAAATACAATTTAATAACACAAAGCAAGCGTTGTTGTACGTCGGTTTTCTGTTCGGCCGTGGTATCGCTTCGGTCGAGCCGTCCCATTCGTGCCGAAGCATGGTACTCCTCCCACACTTAAAACTTATTATAATTGTTCACATTTATGCTTTCCAGGTATCGTGGTAGGCATGCTGTTCGCCAGTGGCATGTGTCTGCTGTCCCTCTTAGCGTATGCTGTGCAGGACTGGTATCACCTGTCTTTAGTCACCACATTACCTTTTATACTTCTTTACGGGTAAGTTCTGTTTAATTTTAAAAACTTATGATTTTTAAGAAATATATTATTGAAGTACTACTGACTTAAATTAAAATCGTGGTTTACTCACGTGAATATACTGACAAAAAGTCTACTAGTTTCGAGCCATAGAGGGGCTCTTCCTCATGAGCATCATCCTACGCGGTCGCGGCGATGTCGCGCAGCCTACTCTATTATTAACTTTTTTGCTCATTAACATCTGTATAAAAAAGATTTTCTTTTTCAATATTTGTTCCTGCTTCTGAATTGCCAATTTTCATTTACAGATATTATTGGTTAATACCAGAATCTCCAAGATGGCTAGTCGGCAGAGGCCGAATAGCTGAAGCTGAGAAAGTCCTCAGGAATCTCGCCAGGAAAAATGGCATTATATTAGAAAGAGGATTTTTGTTAGAATTACACGTAAGTATTTTTATCAAAACAAATAAATTGATTGTCGCACTGTATCAGTAAAAACAACCTTTAAAAACTAATACATTGTTTTATAAAGAAAATGTAAATTTATTCTCCAGAAAAAAATTAAAGAGGAAGAAGAAGAAATACAAGAAGAACTCGCAACCATGTCCAACATGAACGGGCATATCGCTGGGTACACAGAAGTACCAGAGAAAGACGAAGCTCTAGACAGAAGAATAAGCAACATGTTGACATTCAAACCAGACCTCACAAGAATATCCGAAACAGAAGAAACAAACAAAAACAATTTAGAAAAGATAATAGCACTAGAAGTAGCAGAAATCGTGAATAAGAAATCAAGATTAAAGAGAGAAGACAAAGAAGAAGATAGAGAACAAAATATTACTGAAACTACAAATCTGAATACTGAACATCAGCAGAAAGCGACACAGACTGAATTTTCCAAATCACCAGCGAGTACGTTAAGAAGAAAGTCTTTACAGTTAGTAAGTAAGATATTTATACAAGAAGATGTTGAGGATGTAATAGAGAACAAAAGAATGGATGATCAGAACTCAGAAGGAGATTGTAAAGCATCTCCACTGGATGTGTTCCGATATCCAAACATACGGAAGAAATTCTTCATACTGACGTTTGATTGGGTCGCGCTTGGAGTAGTGTATAATAGTATGAGCTATAATACTCCTAATTTGGGCGTTAATGACTATTTGGCGTTTTTCATTGGTGAGTTCATTAAGTATTATAATTTACACTTGATTTTAAATTTTTTGTTGATGTTTAACACTGAAATAATGACTACCTATATAACCGAGCCTTGCTCGGTGTTTTTTTTATTACATACATAAATATATGTATTTTTTTTAAACAAAGATAAAGGAATAAATGAAAAAAATATAAAACCGAAAAGATAAAAGAAATCTTCAAATCGAAATCTGCTCTCTCTACTAAGTGCCTTTTTGCCAAACACCACTTTAACTCTTGTCTACAGAGAGAGTAGAAAACTAAATGTATGCGTATGACACTAATAAGTGTCAAAATTTAAGTTAATTCCATACAATTTGGTTTTCTATTCTACAAGTAGACAAGCGCTAAATGCCATTTGGCTACAGCTGCTGCTAATATAACTTTACATGTAGGTAATGGCGAAATTTAGCTTTGTATTCTAATCAGAACCTTTATTCAATGAAACATGGACAAAACAACATTATCGATATTATCTGATAATGAAATAGAAAAAATAGTTAGATCGATTTCTCTTTCCAGAAAATCGATGGAGCCGTTTCAGATGGTTGAAAAACAATTCTTGTTTGTCACAGGTGGTGCCGTAGAAATCCCATCTTACTTCATAGCGTGGCGTTGCATGGAAAGGTTTGGCCGTCGCTGGGTGCTCTGCATCTTCATGTGCGTCGGAGGAGTCGCCTGCATCAGCTGTGTTCTGGTGCCTGAATGTAAGTTCCTCTTTCATACATCCCTACAAAAATTACCAATTCCTCAAGTGCCTACTTCTATTCTCTGAGCATTATACCAGATAGACTAACATCAGGCGTCGGTCAATATCCGACCAATGTTCATGAACCCAACAAAAGTAATGCATTATAAACATACATATTCCTATTCATAATTTGATATTACCAAGAGTCGTGTCTTCTATAATTTGCTCAAACACCTTTGAAACAAAGATTAGCCTGTAACATCTTAACTTGTCAGAACTTAAAATGATCGTGTTTAATTGAAGGTACCTATGTGATCATCATTTCCTTTCGACCGTTCACTTACACTATCTCCTAGTAATGACTTTGACTTAAAATCATTCCAGCATGGCCCTGGATAACAGTATCTCTCTCGATGTTGGGACGTTTATTCGCTGCGTCATCATTCGCTGTATTCTACGTACTCATTGGAGAGTTACTACCGACAGTATTGAGAGCGCAGGCAATGGGTGCTGCATCATTTATATCTGGATTGGGATTATTAGCCTGCCCATACATTGTACACTTGGTAAGTTGTAATTTAAGTACTTCAGAATAAATTTCACTGTAATCATTTTGTACATCATTTAGATGCACTTCTAAGACTCCTAAGTTTTGCTTATCAAATTAAATCGTTTAAAAATCGCTGGTTATTCACGTAAAAATAACTATGGCGGCGATGTCGCGCAGCCTACTGACCGCCACTGCGCACGCTGCTAATGACAAAAAACCCTCTGTGGTTCGAAACTAGTAGAGCGTTTCTCTGTATTTTCACGCAAGTAACCCGCGATTTTTAGTTAATTTAGTATGTCTTACGATAGTTATTATAAAAACAAATTAAATTGAGTTCATTTTTAAAGCGATTTGCATCTAGGACCGCTATAAAGTGTATAAAATCATTGTTATTGATTTTTTTACAACAAATTATTTTGCTATGAGTACTCTAAAAAGGAAATGATCTCTATAAATAAATGTTTTCAGGAGAGCATTTGTCTGTTATTAAGTATGCATACGTAATCTAATGACCATTTTCTCCCTAATTTTCCAGGCTGTATATTCCAGAGCCTTGCCACTAACAATAATGGGCGTCCTAAGTGTGATGGGAGGCATCACCTCACTGTTTTTGCCAGAAACCTTGAACCAGCCACTCCCACAGACTCTGGGAGATGGAGAGACTTTCGGAAGAGACTTCAAAATATTCAGCTGTGTAGAAAGACAGAGTGAAAAATGAAGTGTTAAGTTTTTTTTTATGGGACAAGCCCGCCACAACCTCCCAAAACCGCTGCAACTTCTGTAAGCCAGGATTTACAGTAGATACAACCATGAAAACACCGGAACATTGAAGTCCGGCGCGTCCCAGTGACATGAGTAACTGTCTTGGTTTCCGCAACAAAGTGAATCAGAAGATATTATAATAGGAGAAGAAGAAAGAAGTGTTAAGTTTGTGAACTTCTGGTGCATAAAATGATACGTCACAAATTGAAATACTGTTTGTAGATGAATGAAGACACCGTCTCAGTGGTTTTTCCTTTAATAATTCCGGCGATATATGTAGCTCTGGTATAATATTTGAAAATTGACTTCGCTTTATTTTTTACCTAGAAACAATTATCGTAAGAACCTAACTTAAACTGTCAAACACAGCGAGGACACCGGTGACCACAACCTATTATTCTTTAATTGTGTCTATAATGACGGTACTCAAAGGGTACTGCAATCACAGTAGAAAAACTGATGTGAAATCACAATATAGAGGTAGTGAAGAGAATGAACTTAAAAAATAATGTTTTTGTAAAATTTATAAAAAATCAAAAGAAGATAAAAAGGTTTATGCAATAATAAATCCTAACAACGTAATTATAGAAGTGTAAATAACACGACAAGAAGTATAGAGGTCACAAAGTTTAATTAGAAGTAATTTAAGATATACACAAATTCTCATAAGTTAAGAGTTTTCGTCACAAGTTTTTAGAACTTAACGGTGCTTCCTCGCCGGGAGCATTTACGTGTAATGTAACATTATAGATTCGACTTTGAGCATTACATTACAATAATACCTCCCTGACTAACGAGCATTTGCGTGTAATGTAACAACGAGCATTTGCGTGTAATCTACTATATAAAAATGAGTCGAGTTTTCCCTGACGCTATAACTCCAGAACGCACGAACCGATTTCCACGGGTTTGCATTCGTTGGAAAAGTCTCGGGCTCCGTGAGGTTTATAGAAAAGAAAATTTAGGAAAGAATATATTTTCTTCATCTTTTAATCACCAAACAAAATGTTACATAAAACGAAGCCATCTGGTGGGGAAACGGAGTTCGTCGATTAGCTAGTGTAATATATTGATGTTGGGTGGGGGAAGTGAAGCGCATTGATGTTACAAGTTGTATCAAGATATTACACATTGTATCATTACAAGATGTGTATTGTAATGCTCTGTTCTCCTCCTTCACTGATGTAACGCTCAGATCTGTAACGTTACATTACACGCGAATGCTCCCGGTGAGGGAGCACCTTTAAAATTAATGTGTTACTTTGGATAATGTGTGTTCGTAAACTTGTTCTAAGGCACAAGTACAAAAGCGAAATATGTAAATAACACAAACTTGTAAATATTAAAACTAATTTTATATCATATCTACGTCTTTTTACTGTTTCTTTTGTGTTTCTGCTCTCCTGGTACTGTTGGGGAACGAAGCATCTTCTAGTCTTGTAATTTTGAAGGTCCAAGAAGAGGGTCCATTACATGACATACATGAGTGTGTGATAATATAGTTAGCTCAACTACTCAATTAGTTATTAATTTCAATGTTAATGAATTACGAGCAATGAAGACCGTAGGTGAGGGTGGGGCACGAAGCAGACGACTGCTCAAGCAATCAGTGTATACCTGGCTACTGATTGACGGCATGCTCGTACAGTTCGAGTACCAACGTAGAAGTCTGTACTCACGCTGGCAACAGCATATACACAGGTGTAGTTAGTAAATCACCTGACGTGTAATAATATTCTGGAGGCTTTAATTTTCTGAAAGTATATTTAGATGTTTAGTTGCAGGTCTGAATACGATTAGTAGATATCTGGAATTTGTTTTTGAAAATACACATTTATAGGTATAGACCCTAAAGTAAGTCAATGAAATACTTAAACAAAAATAATAAGAAGGAAAGTATTAATAAAATTATAATAAAATTAATACTTTCATTTTCATTCAATCCAATATACTGATATATACTGCCTCGTTGGCCAAATGGTCGAAAGTGCGACTGCCGGACAAGGGGTCTCGGGCTCGATTCCCGGGTCGGGAAAAATTTGTACCACTGGGTTTTTAAAAATCTCAGTAGTACCACGGAATCTGGAAATGTGCCTGGTATATGGCAATAGGCTCACCCCTTATTACATGGGACTCATAACATAAATAGTGAAAAGTGGCTGTAACATTGTACAGTGGCATTAAGTGCCGTAATGTGCACCTCTGCCTACCCCTTCGGGGATAAAAGGCGTGATGTTATGTATGTCAATCCAATATATCCGTTGAATAACTTTTTCTTCTTTTTTATATTTGACGTTGGACCACTATCTCGCCTGGTGGCAAGCGATGATGCGGCTAACGATGGAGCATGTCTGCCTAAAGCAACCTTTTCACTCGGACCTTGAAGACACCCAGGTTATAACACGCTTAAGGAAATACAGACATTTTCAAAAAATTCCACTCCTTAGCAGTACGTACAAGGAAGTTTGAAGTGAAGTGCTTAACTTATAGGAACATAGTCTGCAGTATAAGAACGATGTAGTTAGTCAGGAGCCCCATGAAGTGTAGTGATAGCGTGCCGTCTATGGAGAACAAGCCACACGCGCTCATCTTACTGAAGGATACTCTGTTCAATTGCACCACTTCTTCACATAGAAGTCTTTCATAATCTGCAAGAATAATATTATCTATTATTATAGTTAGATCGGGTCGAGGTGGCCCGGAACTTTAAAGCGCCTGCTTCTTATCAAATGCATAAGGGTGCGAGTTTGAAACCTACCAACGGCAAGTACCAATGCGACTCTTTCCGAGTTATATTATGTACTTTCTAAGATTATTTCATATTACATCACTGACAAATAGTAAAGGAAAACATCACTAGGAAACTTAAAATTGCCAACCTGCATTGAACAAGCGAGGTCATTAATGCTCAAACCTTCTCAGTGTGAGAAGAGGGTTTATAGGTTGTTGAAGATGATGATGATTATCGTTAGATGCAACTACCATCAGTATTCATATCAAGCATGATATCTTGTTTAAGTCGGTAATGGAGAGATGTACCTCAATGCTGTTTCATCTTATAATTATGGGTAAGGGAGGGAAGGGAGGAAGGGAGCAGGGAGCTGCTGGATGCGCTTCCAACCGGCCTATCTGAAAGACATTGGGGGAGGCATTTTTTTTGTAAGGGGTGTAAATTATCGAATGACTGCTCCCGCCTAGGTGAGGCGGGAGGGAGTGTCAAACTCTTACTGACTAAAAACCACCTCGTTCCTTCTCCTGCACGTCGAGCCGGAGCCCCGGTAATCCGTTAGGTTCTCCGCGACTCCGAATCGGCATTGGCCCTGTGTTCAGCAGTGGACGTTCTGTGGCTGATATGATGATGTAAGCTTAGTACTCTCCACCGTCAGGTTTTGGAGTCAACCATTTCTTGTAATAGATAAATCGATACAATATCAAACGCTTTTGTGTGTTTCTATAATTTTTACCTCGAATATATTGAAGTACAAGCAGATTACGTAGCTTGTTCAATAGCATTTTCTGAAAAATGTGTACATACCGAAATAATTTTTATTCTTCAATCGTTGTATACAGGTGGTCTCTGCTTCTTCAATAGTGATGTAGAATTTCTCACACTGTATGCTCTGCATCATCAGTAGAGACACATCCTTTGTTAACCACATAATGAACAGTACTAGGAGCGCTGATACTTCCACGTCCCTCTGGAATATAGATGCAAACTATTTAAAACTTGCGTTTAGTGTTTTCGTATTGAATGTTTTTTTTCTTTTTAAAATAACGTTGCCCCACATTAGGATTTTCTCCTGTGTCGTGGGTATGTTTACAAACACATACACAATGACACCCAATTTTCAGTGTTATGAATTCCATTGTATCTCAAATTCAAAAAACTAATATCACAATTTTAATCGTTGTGTTCCCGTTGTTTTTTGTGTTGTTTTCTAAGAATAACTATCACATCACATTAACAGCCAATAAATGCATACTGCTAACCAAAGGCCTCTTCTCACACGGAGAAAGTTTGAGCATTAATCACCATTTTTCTGAATGTGGGTTGGCGATTTTCCTTACGATGTATTTTTTCTGATTTTGATTTTTCACTGGTTATCAGTGTTGTCTAAATAATCTTAGAAAGTTATAACTTAGAAAAAGTCACATTGGTACCTACATGCCGGGCGTTGGTAGGTTTCGGGCCCGCGACCCTCATGCATACATGAGAAGGGAGCGTCTTAAACCTCCGGAACACCACGAAATACACAGGTACAAGGTACAATACACACTTTCTTATAAATAGGAAACCAATTATATTGTTTCCATTCGTTTTGTATTTTACTCACTTTATCAATCTCCACATGATCCAACACTTTCAGTTTTTGCAAGAAAAGTGTGAAGTAGAATAAACAACGGAAAAATGTATCGATTGTGTGAAACAGAGTCTGTAAATGGAAAAGATAATGAATAATGTTATTTAATTAAGTTGTAGCGTGGCCCCTTAGAATCCAAGTTTTTACATAACTCTAGTTAGTTAGGCTCTTCAGTTTCTCCAGACTTGAATGATGAAATCGAGGCACTTTCATTTTTTTTAAGCAATGGACAATACATATCGCTGTCAGAAAGTTACTTACCAGCAACTGGAATATGGTCTTATAGAAATCAAAAGCATCCAAAATGTTTCGATAAGCAACTAAAAGTTTTACTGAAGATTTGTCATCAACATTGTGCATCACAAGCTTGATCCACTTCTCAAGATATTTTCTCAACAGCATAATGACCAACAAAGCGTAAACAAAATTCAGATCAAAAGTGATGAACATGAAGTCAAAGAGGGTATCACATAAATTGTAATCATTGAAAGACACATAGTACAAATAGTGAAGGAAAATATTCAAGAAGAAAACTCCAAACATTGCCATCCAGTTACGTCTAGTGATCTTCTTTAGATTGTTATGGAAGTCCAAA